TTTGTATCAATGACACAGTAAAATTGACTTATTTTAAGTGTTTTTAAGCTAAAATAACTTTTAAACACTTTTGGAGTACCTGAATAAGTTAATAAAAGTGTTTTAGTTAAACTTATTAAAGTTACACATGTATTAACCAACAAACTATGATATAAGTTATGAGGGGTAGTAAATGATGCACATTAACAATATCTAGCCATTGCAATACATTTCTGAATATTCTGTTCATACAAAAGTAAGCTGAAATATGCAAGACGTGTTTCATTCACAAATTCACAATGTTCTTCACCCTATGTTGAGCACAACAAAAATAATTAAGGATGAATCAATACAAAATCATTTAACAAATTAGCAAATTCTTGAATTAGTCACCGCAAAAATATGTACGTTTCCTAAATGTTGGTCATTTCTTCTCTAATCTTGCCTTTTTAGTCTTCAATTTACCAACTTTTTTTTCCTTCTCTGCAACCAACTGGTTTGAGGTCATTGCTGCCTTGCCTTTCCAGGTAACTTTCTTTGGTGAATAAGGCAGATTGGTAGGCTCCACGACACCAAATTCATCTCCTTTGAAGCTAATTTTTCTAGTACCAGTTGGTCTTCGTTGTAATTTTTTTTGTTGAAGTCTAGTCCTTTCTTCAGATACTACCTTCGGCCTCAAAATTGGCTGGCCGTCTTCATCTTCATCTTCCTCTTCACCTTCCCATTCATCATCACCAATGGTTGAATGTTGAGCAAATTGTTGTTCTTGTTCAGAAGTTTGACTTTCATGTACTGTTGTTAAGGTCACATCTTGCACTTTATGGGAAGATCCTTCACCCATATTCTTTATCTTCTCGTTCACCTGCAAAAACAACCATGAATATTTCAACGAATCAAACAAGTAATAAAATTAAGAATATTTCAGTTTATAAGCATTCAAAAGTAACAATATTTTACCAAAGGACAAGTTCTGATGTTGTGACCTCTGTTACAACAATATCCACATGTCATTAAAAGTCCTTTTCTTGAAGATGACCAAGCCCCCTCTCTCTTCCTTGCCTCGTCCTTCTCTCTCTTTCTTTTCAACTTTGGTCTACCAACCATTTTATGTATTTCTGGTGGTTCCATTGCATGTTCTGGTTTCACTTTCCAGAATTTTTCACCTCTAACTGGTTGTAGTTTATGCATATAAACTAACATGTAAGCTTCCTTTGAATACCACCAATGCACCTCGCTCATCGGATTTTTTTTCTGGTAAATCAGAGCTTTGATGGCATGGGAACATGGTATTCCTATCAAATCCCATACCCTGCATGTGCACCTCTTTAATTGAAGATTGACGGTATGCTTGTCTTCACCTTCATGCACTTCATATCCAAAGTCTCCATTAAAATGAATTTCACACCCTTGTGCTATTTCTCTGTAATCAGTCAGCAAATCCTTGGCATATGGACTGATTTGATCTCTCCAATTCCTACATTCCTCCTCACGATCTTTCAGTAATTTCATTACCTTTCAAACAACGGAAAATCCATAATTAACATGCACTCGTTAGCATTTTTTATGAGTCCGAGTAACATAGATAAAGTAATGACATAGTGTGCTTAAAATTTTATACACATCAATGTTATAAATACAGAAAATTGATAGTAATATAAGTGACAAAAATTCTAGTAATGAAAAAAATTATCAAAGACAAAGTAATAGTTAAATACCTTGACTCTTATCTCTTCCAACATCTTGATAATTGGTTTGTGTCTTGCCTCTAAAATCCATTTATTGAATGATTCTGTAAAGTTGTTGTCAACCATTTGATTCTTGCATTTGGTGTCAAAATAAGCTCTACACCATTTTTGGGGTGGGTAGCCTATTAGTTCTTTGGTAGCCATTTCAGAAAGAGTCCCTAAAATTGTCAATTGGTCATTGAACTCTTCTCCATAAGTGCTCCAAGCACACCACCACATTAATTTTTTCATTAGTACACCCCTCCAGTTCTTACTCCAGTTAGCTTCTATATGTCTAGCACACCATCTGTGATGTGATTTAGGTAGTACATCATCAACAGCACCAATCAACCCCTATAATATCCAAACAGTTAAGTAAATAAGATAAGATTAGTAATTAAAAAAAACTTAACAACACAAATGTAAATTAAGTTAAGAATCTATAACCTTTTGCATGTCTGATATAAATGTAACTCCTTCACCCTCCCTCAACTCTAAAGAAGATCTCAATAGCTCCATAAACCACTTCCAAGTTCTATTTGTTTCTTTATCCACCACGGCCCAAGCAAGTGGATAAAGGTGTTTTGCTGAATCTTGTGCCATAGCAACCAGTAAAATTCCCTTACATTTTCCTTTCAAAAATGTGCCATCCAAACCTATTAGAGGCCTCAATCCTGTTTTCCAACCACTTTTCAAAGCTTGAAAACACACATACATTCTCAAAAATCTCCTTTTTCCTTCTGTCAAAGCATTTTTTGATATGTTTATAACCACATCTGTACCAGAATTACTATCCCTCAATTCTTGAGCATAGGCCTCTAACCTATTGAAATCATCAATGAAGCTACCCTCTAATTCCTCTAAGACAAGCTTCTTAACTCTCTTCATCTTAGAATAACTAATATTTAGTTTAAATTTCTGATCCACGTCCACCCTCATTTGTTTGATCTTGTACTTGGGATCATTTTGGACTTTGTTCTTGAAATAATGTGCTAAAACATCGGGAGTAGCTCTTCTATTATGAAATGCTGGATCACATTTATGTTTTGTCTCCAAAGTCTTGATTTTAAATCCTTGATCTTTATTATCCTTAGATATCAAGCACACAAAAGGGCATCCAGTATCACATACATATCTAAGTCTAGTAGTGTCCGATTGTTTTACTTTAAGACCAACCTTATTAGCAACTGCATAGAATCCCACGACTCTTTTAGCTTCAAACAAATCTTTAAAACTCATGCCTTTTTCCAAGTGTAAAAACTTGTCAAGCTTTTCATTAACATCTTGAGTTCTTTCCTTTCTAAAGAGTTCTAATTCTTCACTGTCACGATCACTAGAGTTAAGTCCAACATTTTTCTCCTCATCAGATGAATCACAATCTGTTCCAACATCTACCGCAATATTATGACACTCATTTTGATCAATAATGTTAGGAGTAGAGACATGTAGTTCACCTTCATTTATAGCATATAATTGAAGCTCACAGACATGGTTAGACAATAAGGGTTGCAATGATATAATGCTAGGAGATGGAACAAATAATTCATTCTCATCCACAGCATATAATTGAAGCTCACTGAACTCGGTACACAATAAAGATTGTAGTGCTATAATGCATGCATCATTCTCAATCAGAAAGTATCTACCAGAAGGCCCATTTACTAGTACCTGCTTCACCTTACTGAAACCTAACTTTTCAATATACTCTGCGCAAATATCTATGTAAGATAGTAAATCCGCATCAAAATCTTGCATAATGTGATTCAACTTTTTAAGATACATCACTTCAGGTTTCAACACCCATTTGCCTCCATAGTTAAACACCAAATCGATCTTCTCAATCATTCTTCAAAAAGTGTACATGAAAAAAAACAAGAAAACAGGGACCCATCAGCATCATTCAAAGAATAGGTTAAAGAAGTTAATATTTATTACCCTAAAATACAAACAAGAATAAGAGAAAGGGTCCACAACAAACTATAGAAAAATAAACAAAACATTTTTTGAATAAACTATTGCAAAAGAGAAAGAGAATACACCATATCAATAACTAAACACAATACAAAGAAATATTAAAAATCAAAGTTCAAATAATAACAATTGAAAAGGGATCACTAAAAGTCAAGAACTAAGAAAAGAAAGACGTAAAAACATTCAAAATATTCTAGAGTAACTACATGAAAATTTTAGAAACCCTAAGCCATGAAAATGAAAAAAACGACCTACTTAGAAGAGAGAAGACTTCAAAAATCAATGTTCCAACTTGAATCCCTCAACTTCAACAAAGTCTTGCAGTGAAAATCTAAGCCATTTTAGGTGAAATTGATCTTGAAATTGGTTAATAAGAAGGAAATGAAGAAAAATAGGATATTAGGTTAAGGGAGAGGAGGTGATTCAAATTTTTTATTTATGATGGATCTTTTTAATTGGGTTTGGGTCAGGGATGTCAATATGGGTCGGGTCGGATGGGTAGGAGAAAGTTTAGTGGGTTGGAATTACTTTAACCAATAAAAAGACGCCACATAATAATTATTAATAATAATAATTAAAAAATATAAGACTTTTAGTTTAAAGGGTAATAGTGGACCAAAAAGGTTGACTGAGGGGTATTTTTAACCCAATAGGTGGATGAGGGGTATTTTTAAACCTTTTCGAATAGTACAGGGGTATTTTTGGCCCTTTTCCCTTTATTATTTGCTCTTTAATTTCTTTTCTTATTTACTTTGGGATGGTAGAGAATTAGGTAAAAGAGGAAAATGTTCCAGCAGGACCCAACCTTGTATTCAGAAGGAGATCTCTCTTTTAGTCCTTAATTTTACCATAGATTTAAGGTTCTTTTTCTATATTCTATCACATCTTATACCGATTCCTATGTCTTCAAATAAATATTTTGGAAGTCTAGAATACAAAATGAAAACATTCTCAGTTTTCTATGTCAAAAGGAGAAAATATGCATTATGAACAAAGCAACCATTGAACTTCAAAAAAAAATAAACTCAAAAAGCAAAACAAAATTGAATCCATATTCATTTGGGCACCCGATTTTGCTTCACATGAATTTAGACATAAATTTGTCACTTTGTTGAAACTGTGAGGCTGTGAGCTATTCAAGCAGTGCCTTCGGATCCATGAAAACCATAACAGAAAAGACACATGAGCACTAAGAAAAGAAGCTTTAAAAGCAAGAGGGACAAGGTTATCCACAAGTCAACAGCTAAATCCTTCATAGCAACAAGTTTGATGCTGATGTTATGCACAAGAATTTGATTAAGAACTCTGAAGCACAGTAGTTTATACAAGTATATATCCTGCGAAAAATTAGTCACCAGAACTCAACCATGACCTTCTAGGAGCATATCAGATTGCATATGTCCTGAAACCTTGCCTCTGAAATGTTGGCGAAAGGGAAAACTCTGAATCTACCAGTATTTGGACAACTCAAAGTCAGATGTTCCGAGTAGACCAACTTCTGCAGTATGCAATACAAGAATTATTCACCACTTGTAAGTGTCTTCTTCTAAGATATACTGGTTAAATTACAAAAGAATAAAAAGTGCATCCAAATTTGAGCTTCATTTGTGGTGGACAGAAGTAATAACAACAACATGAGAGAGCAGGACTAAGAGGATTATGACTACTAGGAAAGACAAATTTCCTGTTAGGTGGTCAAAAAATTACCACCATGCAGAGTAAAGCAAACGATGCCAATAACAAGATGTTCTAATTAAGGAACACTAACAAAGCTGAAACGAAAGATAAAAGATGGTCCGAGGGTTACTCAAAATTATACTTTGTTCTGGGAAAATACCACCCTTATAAATTGCCCTATTCAAAGCATCACCAACGTTTAGACCAAATAATCATGTCATTGGTAGTGGGGATGGAGGGAGATCTATAAAACTCAAGAGCCAAGAATCTTCTTAGTTAATAAACAACCTAATACAATCACCAATATATCCACAGCGCTACTCTCAAGTATATGATGTTATAATTGCTTGAAACAACAGTTATGTCAAAGATAATACGAAAGAATGTACATAAAGTGAAGACTATTTTTCTTGTCCTAGGGGATCACCCCCCCCCCCCCCCCCTTGAACTACTCTTGATCTGTTTCTCATTTCAGTCCATTGATCTTATGTAACGTATAATTTCATATTTACTTTTGCATATCCTATTTCTTCTCAGACAAAAAATACTTTTCCCTTCTCATAATAGGATCAAGTATAATGAGATACCTCACAATGAAATGGCTTGTCAGTGCAGCTCCACCATTTGGATGGAATGCAATCAAAGTAGTGACACCAGCTACAATACTTGTTTATGTCAATGCCATGCAGAACTGCCATTATAATTCCTGCAAGCCTGCAGTTGGAATGACAACAATTCAACTCATTATCTTAGAAAACTATAACTAGCCTAAGTAATAGTTCATGGTGAAATTGGATGCAAAGAAAAATGGAGCAAGAGTAAAACCATACAATCATCATACAGAGATAGAACTCACAAAAAAGCAAAAATAACAAGAGCAGCAACCCTCTGAACAGGCTTGTCCAAACTCTTCCTACATTTGACAATATCCTTGGCATCAAATTCAAATAAGCCTCCCTTATTTCGAGCTAGTTTCTCTTGTTGAGGCTTGAACAAGAGCACAAACCCCAGAAGGAATCCTGACATAAATCCTCCGATATTCGCAAAATTATTGATGTAAGGTATCAGTCCGAGGACAAGATTAGTCATCAAGATTGTCATGGTAGCCACAAGCCCAGAAAACTGCAATAAAAAGTAGGGAGATGACATTCTATACTATTTGACAGCTGAGATGAGAGGGGAAAAAGCTACAAGACTACAGGACCTTATTGGTATAAGATTTCCAATTCCTGATGAGGCCAGAGAGCAGTGTACCAAGCAATCCAACCAATGCACCAGAGGAACAAACTGATGGCCGATCTTGAACGAAAAGTGAAGCAACTAGACTACCAGTAATAGCTGAGAGTATGTAGATAACTCCAATCCTAACTGCAGGAATAGGAGCTTCAATCAAAGATTCAATAAACAACTTTCTCAATGAAAGAACATATTATAAGAATATTCTTACATGATCCAAATTCTTGCTCTAAGTGAAGTCCCACAAAGATTACTGAGGACAAGTTAATGATCAGATGGAAAAGCCCTGCATGTAACCATGGGCTTGTGAAGATACGCCACAGTTGTTGATTATTAGTCAACAATGTCTTCTGAAGTGCTCCAATTTCTTCCAACCTACATTGGCAAAAGATTTCATATCTGTTACTGGCAGCAGAACTTCCTCTACATAATATCATGCGCAAGACACAGTGTACAGCTCAGTAGTTCTTTGATGCACAGTTGGAAAAATAACATGTTTATATTAACATATAGGATAATATGCCTTTGTAAATAACCTCAAAGAATAAAGTAGCTGGTACTGCAATTTTCAAGGCAGATGGGAAAAGCAGGTAATGTTTAACTTGTTTGCGACGGATCTAGAGATCAATATGTTAGCGAACATGGAGCGTGGATTAGTCCTGAAGAACTGCCATATGGAGAAGCAAGAGGTTCCATAAAGAACCAAGAAATATTTCAGAAACAGTTCATCACATGTGTATATATGCAAAGTGCTTGTATACTTGATGCAATAAAATTTTAGGATTCTGAAATCAGTTAGATGCATAAGAAATATACAAGACTGGCATTCAGCAAAGTACCGATTGCCGCCATAAACTACATTTGCAGGAGATACGAAACAATATAAATCTCAATAAACATTGTAGCTATACAAACTCAAATTCAAGCAACAATTCATATTGATAGCAACGTTTTCTCCTCAAATTTCATAAAGTAGTCCAAATCCATAATAAGTTCAAACGATGCATTGAAATAATGGAATCGGAATTTCAGGATTATCAAGTAATTAAGACAAGAAATAGAATGATTAGTGAAAGAGAAAGAAGGAACTGACGTAGAAGCAGAAGGACCGAGCAGAGGATTCTCGGAAAGAGGCTGAAAAGAGAACCTACGGAGAGGTTTTAGAGCACAATCTCCATGAGAATTCTCCCAGCAGTCGTTAACAATCATTGTAACAGTGAAAGCGCCTAAGTGAAGGATCACAAAGAGAGAAATGATCCATGTGTTTGCTCTCTTCTGAGACAAGGGCCTAAAGAAGGGGAATGGAACTCTATCATCTTTGAGTAGTTCGTCGGCCATCATCTCAGTGGAGAATGTCGACGCCATTGGAGCACATTGTTGCTTGATTTCAAGGTGGGTTTGTAATTTCGAATTATCTGCCATTATTTTCTGTGGGTACACATTTTTCTCTACTGGGTTACTTGAATTAAACTTCACAAGTTGGGGATGATCGATCCATGTGATATTCGGGGGTGGTTGTTGTTTATTGGCGGGAAGAATGCCAACAAGAGGGTACATTTCTCTTTTGTTTTATGCTATGGTGAACAAATTTATTTTACAAAAATCACACCCAACTAATTATTTAGATATACGTTAGTTTGTAATATTACATCTTCTTAAATTCTGACACATCCAGATAGTAGGGGTGTTTACGATTTGGATAAAAATCGATTTTATTTGGCTTTGGTTTTAGATTTTAAAAAATCGATAGTATTTGATTTGATTATGATTTTGTTCGAGAAAATCGAAGAAATAACCAAACTGAATCGATAAATTATATACATATATTTTATTATTATACATACTTAATATATTGTTTTTTATAAACAATTTTAAATATCTTATATATGTTTTCATCAAAAATTCTTTATAATTTACTTATTGAAAGCAAAAAATGTCCAAGGTGAGAGCATTTATCTTATTGATTTCATGTATATGAGTGTCTATGATAATTCTTTGTGGGACTGAAAATGTTATTGTCTCTTCCTACTAGACCAAAATAGTAAATTTTAAAGTTTTATTCATAGTAAATTTAGTGATAAAAAGTTCGGTAATGTCACTCATTCTAACTATTTTTCGTTTTGAATGGATTGTAGTCACTTTTTCATGTTTTGAACGAATTGTTTCTTTTATTTTGTGTATGGTTAATAACCGAATAACCGAACCGAAATCGATAACAACCAAACTGATAAATGTATATTATATTTGGTTTGGTTTGATTTTGATATTTTTAAAATCGATTAAGTTGATTTGATTTAGTTTTGGCTAATAATCGATCCAAATCAACCCGTGAACACCCCTACTAGATACATGTATCTCTAAATACATAACAATTTAAATACCAAATTAGTACTCTCTTTGTCCAACAATATTTTTGTTTATTATTGACTTTGCACACTTCTTAAGAAACTATTAATAAAAGGGTAATTTTTAAAATATTTTGTGCTATCTCTTTTTTGTTTTCCTTTTGAATTGTGGTGTTTTCTGACTCTTCTTCTACCTTTTGATTTGTTTTTTGTGTTACAACATGTATGTGTTACTTATGTTTTGAGATGGATATTGATTGTTAATTTACAGTGGTTGACACCTGAAAATTTAGTAACAGAAAAAATATTTCTGTTACGATATATTACAGGGTAAAAGGAGGATTTGTCTACTAAAATCCAAAGAGTTCCCCTTTATCAAACTCAATAAATTAAAAATTACCCAATAGCTCACATCAAGAATAATTATTAAGGGCAAATCACTGCACCACCAAAATATAAAACTAAAAATAAATGGAAAAGTTTAAAGAAATATATTTGAAATGTGTATAATGGATAAAAGCAAACAAAGATTGAACACATCTTCATCCTTTTGAGAAAGAAACTAAAAAACAGTGTGTGGAAATAAAAAGAGCACATAAGTTTAAATTTTGGCTCCATCCTAAAAGAGGTAAAAAATAAATTAAGTGTTCGTTTGAATTAACTTATTATTAGGTATTTTTGATTTTTAAGTAGCTTTTTAGTTTTGGAGGTGTTTGGAAAAGTTATAAAAGAGTTTTTCAGCATCCACTTTTAGGCCAAAAAAATTTGATAATGAATCAAAAGTTAAAAGTAGGTTACATCTACAAGAACCAAAAAAGTTGTTAATTACTCTCCCCGTTCACTTTTACTTGTCACTTTTTTCTTAAAATATATTTATTTTTACTTGTCCCTTTTGACATATCAAGAAAAGGCAATAATATTCATGTTTACCCTCAGCATTAAATAATCTTTCTTCAAATCATTTTCCAAAACTTAATATTAAACATCATTTAATAGGAATAGTTTGATAAAATATCTATATCAATAATCATTTTCTTAATGAATATGCCAAGTGAAAATGTGATAAATAAAAGTGAACGGGGGAATAGATGCTAAAGTCACAAACTCTATCAAAATATAGACCGTTTAAACATCAATATTTCATCTATATACATGGATATGGTAATATTAAACTGTCAAATAAGGACTATTCTACCTTAAAATCCAGGACAATTTCCAATTTTTCAAATTTTGACAGATCAAATAATTCACCTTTATCAAACTCAACAAACTAAAAATTATCAGAATGTGGGGTTGACTTAGTGGTAAGTTATCTTCAAGTTTTAGTCTGAAAATCGATGATTCGAGTCATACTAAGAGGTAAATTATAAATAACTATTGATGTGTAAAGCCCACAACCAAAACAACCGAAAAGTAAATGTCTTAGTTTCTCTTAATCTCTTTAGAAGTGATGTAAGATGTAAAAAAAACTTCGATAAAGTTAGAGTCAATGATTCCAGACTTTATCATGGACCTTAATTATGCTATTGTTATCACCAAATGACCAAAACGGTGTTAAGACTTGAATTGTTTACAAGGAAATAAATTTCATTTGTAGTAATAGGTTTAGTAGCTTTTCAAATTTGCATAATGAGTAGTAACTCTAGCAAGTAACATCATGTTTCCTTCTTTTTTGGTTAAAATGTGTTCTTACTCTTCCACGCAATTCTGAGGAGATCAATCGGGTTGAAATTAATCATTCTAACTTTATTGATTCATTATGGTCCAATGATAAGCTCAAAGAACTCAAATTTTATGAAGTTGACATAGCCAACCTTTGCACTAAACAACCATATTAGAGTTGTCCGCATTGAATTATATCTACTATTCTACTATGGAGATATCCTTAAGCTCTGAAAAATAAATACAGGAGATGGTTTTGGTCTAGAGATCACGTAAATAACTCAATTTATATTCGTCCTCTTATAATAATTTGCTTGATATTGTTGTAAAATATAATGTGGACTGGATCACTACCTACCTTATTGCAGAGAGGACTTTGCAACATGCTTTCTAGCATTTATTAACAGGGTCAAGCATTGAATCACAACTATTTTAAGGTAAGAGTAGTTCACAATTTAAAGAGAATAGTAATGAGCATGTATTCAATATGATTATAATTAAAATCATAACCTTGTAGAATTCTTATTTAAAATTGTGTTAAGAGGTTTGTTCATGTTACTTTCATGGTAATAAATGTGACATTGATAAAAGGATAGTTCTCTTATTGTACCAATATAATTTTCTTATCTTTATATTTATGTGATCAGACCCTTTTCATAGAATTACACTGATATATCAATAGACAGTGATATGTTTTAATGAAAACAAATTATTTAAACTTTTAAGCAAACTCTCGGTATAATGTTCCGCAAACTAAATGTAACATTTATAAGTTTAATCATTTCTTCTTTATTTGCATCTGGCGTTCATTCTGCTATTGCTTAGTACGGTGCTTCTCACAATTAACATTTTACATCGCCTTCATCTGCTCTGGTTCCTTTTTGTTTGATTAATGGAATTCCATGTTACTATAATGCATACTGGAAAGATTTGGAGTGAATGTTTCAATTGTGTTTGTTTTGATCTTTTGAGCATCTCTCTGCATTCAATAACTCCACATCAACTGTTTTGAGCCACATTTTTTTTGTTTTGGTTTAGTTGAACAGAGGAATTAAAAAAGATTGTCCTAAACCTGGTAGGTTGGCAGCCGCGTAAAACTTGTCAATTCATGATGAATCCTCATATTTGATAATATAGATATGGTTGTTGTTACGATGTTCTTAAACCATTTGACACTGATTAAGCTCATTCCATGTATTATTTGCACAGTAGGTTGAATAGTTTGATTTACTGGAGCTGCACCATCCTAAGCAAATCATATTATTAGATTTTGGTTGTGAGCGTCCTGTTTGGATAAACTATTTGGGATTGATTCTTGGGACATAATGACATCGCAAAGTAGTACACTCTACATAGAAATTCATTGCTCAATTGTATTGTGTTGGTAAATATCAGTTTCGGGGTGCAAACAGACAGTTAGTTGTTCGAGTTAATGTTGAACTTTCGGCTACAATTTGATAGTATGCCTTTCTATAATATCATAAAGAGGGAAGAAAAAGGTCTTTCATTTCCTACATTTTCTTAGCTAAAAGACTCTGGAATTTACAATATATTTACTCTTCTATGCGTCATGATTCGCAACTCTAAGCATTAGTTATATGGTATAGTTGTTACAAATTACCAACGTTTTACTACAGCTGAATGTTTCTCAAAACACTTCTTATTTTGATAAATAAATAAATAGATATTGAAGTTGTGCAAGTTGCTCAAAAGAGTTTGGTTACTTTGTGTTTTACCTGATCTGAATTTCATTTGTGGTTGGTACCTGGTAGATGATCTGGAAATGTAGGACATTTTATGGCGAATAGGGCTTATGAAAGGCACTCAGCTGACTACTTATGTCTGTGTATGCTAAAAAGGGAATTTCAAGTTTGTAATTTCCAGTTTGTGCAACTTCTATGTTGTTGAAGTTGAGTCTGTGGTTGTGGGTAGCCCTAGGATACATAGAGTCATAGAGATTATGAAGAATGAAAAGAAGTGGAGGGAGGGACAGAAGTTAGGGTCTATGGTTGGGGAGTAGAGAGGCCTGACGTCTAAGTGAAATATTTACCTCAAAAATGACTGAAGCTAATACTAAAAGTTTTCGAACAATCATGCAACCTCACCTAATCTTCAAAATAAAACTTGCAATGGCTTAATAATAAGGTGGATAGTTAATACAGGATAAGCATACTTGTATTGTTGAACTTGGCACAAACAGTCAGGAACTTTACCGGCAAGACAAATAAAACGAGCTGGCAAGACCAATTCAAGCAAGTTGCTTGTGAACTGATATAGTCTCACATTTCTTTTTCTCCTATAAAAAATATTATTTTTCTCCTGTAAGAAAAACTTATTATACTTCAAATACTCCAAGCAGTTGTGATACAATTGGTGCAGAACCAATGAATGTACATGCTTCATGTGCTGAGTTCATTACCCTAGCCTGTGGAAATGTCATCTGCTTTATTGAAACAGATATATGGATATTCTAATTTCTTTATATTAGTTGCTTCATATTCAATTTGTTGCTGCAGCTTCATAAACTGTATTCTGGCCACAAAGTAACATAAAAATTTAAAAGGAAAAATAAAGACAATTGCTTTGATGGTAAACCCGAGTAATATTTATAATAGATGCCCAAATCTAACTACTAGGTCCTATACATGCGGGGAATACAAGCCATTAGTTAGTGATTTGAGACAGATAGTTGAAATATTGATGACTTTTATGTGGAATCAGTCAAACCTAAGATCCAGTCCTTCCTAGCAAGCCGTAATATATTGATGGGTTTAAATATAAAAGGTAACTACAATGTTGCATGAAGAGACACCTTAGAGTATTTGCATACACCTTACAGTTATTCTTATCCAACAATATATCAAAAGATATCAGGATATAAAAAACAAGCCCTTCACACTTTTTTCAACAATGTTGTAGAGTTGAGAGTGGTATATATGCCAAAGTGATAATTTAGGATATCAATTTGGGGATCCAAAATAAGCAAATAATATCCTGGAAATCCTCTTTAATGATGAATTGGAAAACATTTGAGTCCATGCTGCCTTGGTACACACAAGTCCCTTCTTTTTGTTAAAATTTTTCTACTTTAGAAATATATCACTGTCACATAATCAAAAAGGTAAGATAGGAACCCTATTTTGAAGAGGAGCCCTACTGTGAATGTTAGGGAGTTTGGTAGACGAAAGAATTGCTAACATATATGTAGTGCACATGACTCTCAAAACTTTTTATATATCAAGACACTTCTTTTTGATCAGGTAAAAGATTTTGTTAATAATAGCAGGGCCAACTTAACCATATACAAAAGGTATACCAAAAAAAGAGAAACCTACTGTTTCTCTCCAATAGATACCGAATTCTTTATACAAACAGGAACTACATGGGTGCACCAAAAGAAAATAAGGGATCGGAGAGTACTCCTCAAATGAGCAAAGCTCGTCTCCACTCCTCAAAAGCTCTCCTATTTCTCTCCTTCAAAACGATCCACATAAAAGCAAGAGGAGTAACATTCCAATCCTTGTGTCTTCTTCCCCTAGCTCCACTCTTCCAGCTGAACATCAACTCCTCCACGGATCTTGGTATTACATAAGTAACACCAAACCATCTAAAGATATCTTCCCATAACCTCGTAGCTAATTTGCAATGTAACCGAATGTGGTCCACATCCTCACCCCCCTCCTTACAAAGGAAACACCGGCTCATACAGACAACCTTTTGTTTCCTAAGATTCCCGGCTATCAATAACACCCCTCTAGTAGCTAAGTGAAGAAGCACACCTTCCTCGGCACCTTAGGAATCTAGACTGAGGCATGTGGAAAACTAACCTCTGCCCTAATCAGAAGCTTCTCATAGAAGGACTTAACTGAGAACGAATTGTTATTCCCCAACTCCCAACTCAAAGCATCGGATCTGTCAATCAGCTGGAAGACCTTTAATGATACAAGTAAAAGTAAAGTTTCAGTGGGATATTGTGTATTCAGTTGATTGTATTATTGTATACAAAGATTATTATTACAATGCACGTTTGTATGCATTTCTTTGCTTGCCAGGACTATGTACATAATATAGTTCTTAGTTTTTAGGAGTTTAAGAAATTTGCTGCTACATCAAAAATATTTTTTTTTGGGATCCGATGCGGACACAATTCAGATTCAGACATGTTGCATATTATTCTGGTTTATGTTCTGTTTTTAGCATTTCTATAGATTATTCTAACTAACAGTTAATAGTTTATACACATTATTAGCAACATACAGCTACTTATTGCTTTTATTTTCATATATACTCGACCATATGCACTATCCTTGTGGAAGTAGAAGCTGTCATATCATATATGTTCATATTTTACTCCATTACTCTACTAATATGCAAATTGATTTCTCTATTTCTTCAAATAATGATGTTGCAGAAGTTCTTTTTCACTTTACTCTAAGTAGAACTTTAAATAGTTTTAACCATACCAGATGGCCATCTGATAATCACCACCTCCTGTACCTCTTGTTAGCATATGCATAGTTGAAGCTCTTCGAAAGAGTCAGAAGTTGCAACTAACTTCAAAGGAAAACCAGTCACGCCTGTCCCCTTAACCAGAGCACATCGTCGACCAAAGAAGCAGACAACGGGAGCTATGGTACTGCACTGCTGATTTAGCTGAACTACCCTTCACTCCCTCAAACTTGCTGCAATCCCTCACTTCTCCCGAACCCTAACCTTTCGTCTAACGCCATACTATAATAGGCGTCTCCTCCCTTTTGTCGTTAGATCCCTTTCTGCTTCCGCCATCCAAACTTCTGTGACCGCCACCACCACAGAGAAATATCAAGGTATTTGTACTGACATTTTTTTTAGTTTTGTTTTGTTTTATTAAAAGATTAAATTTTGTGGCGGTGAATATAGTGGTGAAGCCTCAATGGAAAGCTGCAATTGATTTCAAGTGGATAAGAGATAATAAGGAGTCAGTTGCGGTTAATATTAAGAATAGGAACTCTAATGCTAATCTGGAGGTTGTTCCTGAGCTCTACAAGAAGTTGCTCAATGTTCAGAAGGTCCATTTTCTATCCCATTTGTTTACTCTTTTGGCAATATAGTCTAAACCTTTCGGTATTTTGTATTTATCTTCAAAATTCAGAATTCAGTTGTGCTGTTAGTTCAATTTGTTAAATTAAAAATTTAACTTAAGTGGACCTTTTAGTCAAAAGGATTCTGAACATTAGCTACTGCATCACTGTATAATCTTCGTGAACATTTAACATTTTACAGACATATATACATGATATAATGGAATTAATGGAAAATGGAATTCAGAAGTATGTGACTCTATAATGTGGATAACCAGGGTCATGATATAAGTTTGAAAATTCTTTACGAGGAGTATGAGCATTTCTCTTACGTTTCTCTCCTGTTTTCTTATGTTGGTTCTGGGAAAGTTCCAGCCTCCCTCCTGCCAACTGTCTAAATTGTGTTTCAAAGCAATTCACAATTACTTTTTTCGCCCTCCTGCCAACTGTCTAAAAGAGGTCTAGAATCAGTTTTTCTCCCTCATGGCAACTGTGTATATTGCATTTTAAAGAATTTCAGTGTTAGTGTTTCTTACTTTTGGCAAAAATGATTGCGGATATAGGTATCAGGTGGCTATTAATTTATTAATGGATGTGTTCTGCTGTGTTCTGCTGTGTTCTTCTTGTAAATTGCATTTATATTCCAGATATGACCCTGTATTCTGTAGAGATTCCTTCCTCCTGTTATCTTTCCCTCTCCTTTGCATTATAGGATAATGATACATGATAAAAGGAGCAGAATTTCTGCTCATTACCATTGTCTTGATTATTTCAAAGTTTTTTAGTGCTTTGTGTTGCATTCATAGAGCTTCAATTTGTGTATAGAAGTAACACATTCACATGCTTGAATGATTTTTTGTAGAACTGGTTATTCTCAATATTAGCTAATTGTTACTCACAGATAACAGGAAGTTGAGAAGTTACGAGCAGAGAGAAATGCAGTTGCAAACAAGATGAAAGGAAAACTAGAACCCTCAGAACGCCAGAAGCTCATTGAAAAAGGTTCGTTTCTTATTTTATGTCCACCTTGAAGTTTTTGATGGCTAGGTTATTCATTGTGTGAATTGTATTTTTCATCAGGAAAGAATCTGAAGGAAGAACTTGTTACTTTGGAAGAAGACCTGCTAAAACTTACAGATGAACTACAGCAAGAAGCACAATCCATACCTAATATGACACATCCAGATGTTTCATTAGGAGGGGAAGATTCTTCAACAGTCAGGAAAATGGTACTTCTTATTTGATATACACAGGTGTGCAGACCACATTGTTTTGATCCTGCTCAAGCCTCATTCACATTCCTTGTATTTCAGGTTGGTAACCCTGTTGAGTTTAGCTTTGCGGTTAAGGACCATGTCCAGCTGGGAAAAGAGCTAGATCTGTTTGATTTTGATGCTGCAGCTGAGGTATTCTTTCTCACCCAAGGTATTTGTTTTGTAACCTAGAACTAACTTAGTGGTTGTATATATTATCAATACAATCCATTTGTTTTGAGAAAAAACCAGTCTCTTCCTCACCATGTTACCCTTTGCATATTGGACCATGGTCTTCCCAATATCTTTCTGCTATCGAGTTATCAGACCTAATGTTATAGCCACCATTGGCTTTCATACAGCTATGCCAAGCTGGTAGTAAATTGTGTTTACTGGTTGAACATTGGTCTTCCACTACTTAGTTTTTTAGCAGAGTGCTTTCATCCAAAGATCGTTGGACATGATTAAGTTTGTACACCACATAGGAAAATTGACCTGCTACCACTTCTTACTTTCAGAAGATGGGTTGGTTAGAGGAAATCTTGTTTTTGTTTGCTTATGGTTAAGTTAAATTTTCTTTTCAGGTCAGTGGGTCGAAGTTCTATTACTTGAAGAATGAAGCAGTTATTTTAGAGATGGGTCTTGTAAGCTGGGCAGTTTCCGAGGCCATGAAAAGAGGTTTTACACCTCTGACAACTCCTGAGACTATACGGTCATCTGTGGTGGAAAAATGCGGATTTCAACCCTGTGGAACAAACACTCAGGTTTGTCTTTCACGAATGTTGATGCCATTTGGATGATTTCGTCCACAATCTGTGATGTGTCCTTTTCATCTTCTGTTTGTGAACATTGCCATCGTGTCTGTAGATAGTTGTTATCACTTTGCTTGAAAATCAGATGAGAGATAACCACAAGAGCTAATTTATGGTTATCTTGTATTTTTTTGAAGAGCATAATATATTATCTTTTTTAACTGATTTTTGATGGTGATGCGAATTGTTTTTACTCAAACCAAGTCTTGAGCTACCAAGGTAACCCTGGTTTTACTGAAATAAGAGTTGAATAACCTTGACATTGTTATTTGAAGCTAGAAACTTGTTCTCCTCCAAAGATTGGATTTTTAACTTCATATGCAGATTTATTAATTGATAATAGAGCAAGCTCTTTACATGAATCATATTCATGTTCTAAACCTCTTACTTGCAACATGTTAGTCTTTAATTAAATGTATAACTATGTGTGTTTTACTTTTCTTTTTCATTCTTGGTTATGTTTGTCATTGTTCTAGGTAGGCTTTGTGATTTTTTCACTTTGTTTTTGGGTGGGGGAAGGAGAAGCTGAAACGATATCATTCACTGAAATGAATTGGTTAAATTGGTTTAGCTGATGAATGATATTTTACTAAATGACTGGTCCATCAAAAATAGTGATCAGTGCCTGATTGGCACCGCTGAGATTCCAGTAGGCGGAATACATATGGACTCCATCTGTCTGAGTCTTCATTACCCTTGAAATATGTGGCGTTCTCGCATTACTTCCGGACGGAGGCTGGTGCTGCAGGAGCTGCAACTAGGTTACTTGTGATTTCTTATCTTCCTGTCATTCTTTTCTTTTCCTGTCTTCCTTTTCAAAAAATATTTTCGTCTTCACGTGATATGTGATGACATATGCTATATATAAAGATATAATGCATATCCATGTTTTGCAACTTTCATACTTAAACTATGGGGTGTTGCTATTACCCCATAAACTACTATTGTTTCCAATTTACCCCCCCCCCCCCCCCCCGGAATGTCAAGCGGCATGGAAGAGTGACTTTACTCTCTGTGACATGTGAGAACTAAAATTAGGCAAAAAAAACAGCAGCCACGTTGCATTTTCCCTCCACTTTTCGTATTAATTAGTCTTATTCCTCATTTGTTCCTTTTTCTTATTCATACTTTTTGATGGTATGACATGCACATTAACTTATTCAAGTATGAATGTTTCTAAACATTGAATAATTCAGGTTTTATTATTTATTATCTCATATATAAATTCCATGAGCCCACTAAATGTATTATTTACTTTAATATCTGGGTGTTCTGTGACCGTTCGTGCTTTAAGTTCCTAGTTTCATCACTGTGTCCATCAGAAATGGAAAATCCGCTTGAAATTATATATGTGAGCACATACTGTCATACATATATTTTTTTTCTGCATCAAGTAATTAATTACAGTGATTGGCTGCAGGGGACTTTATCGAGTTCACCAGTTCAGCAAGGTGGAAATGTTCATACTATGCCGACCAGATGAAAGTGATTCATACCATCAAGAACTCATTGAAATTGAAGAAGAGCTCTTCTCATCGCTTGGATTTCATTTCAAGTGCGAATCTTAATTTCATATATACGAGGACCAATTTATGCATGTTTAGTTAATTAGTTGATCAGTTTTGTGCACCAAACATACAGTTGTTTTTCTTTCTCCATTTCTTATAAGCAAAGCATACTGTGTGCAGGACATTGGACATGGCATCTGAGGATCTAGGTGCACCAGCATATCGTAAATTTGATGTGGAGGCCTGGATGCCAGGTTTGGGCCGTTATGGTGAGGTAGGCAATGACACCAAGTCTATTTTTTTTTCAGATGTACAATTATCACATATTTAACGTGGATCTGCACTGTCCATAATTTCTGCAACCTTTGGATCGTTTGGATGAGCGGTTGAACAAAGCTAGAACAACTGAATCACTGCTCTACCTTAGCTTGATTCTTTATTTTCTTTTAACAATATTCTAACCTGCTATGTTCTTTGTTCAACAGATATCAAGTGCATCAAATTGTACAGATTATCAAAGCCGGCGACTGGGAATAAGATATCGCCCCAAATCATCATCATCAGCAAGTCCTAAAAAGGGCAGAAATGCAGCTCCGACACAGTTTGTTCACACACTAAATGCTACAGCATGTGCAGTTCCTCGAATGATAGTTTCCTTGCTTGAGAATTTCCAGCAAGAAGATGGCTCAGTTATTATACCAGAGCCACTGAGACCATTCATGGGCGGGCTTCAGATTACTACACCAAAACATATACAGAACTGAAATAGGAAGCACATTTGATATTCAGATACTGTATCTTTCATCACATTTCTTTTTTCCATAATCTTTGACGTCCTCATGTTTTAAAGATATAAATAGGGAGATTTCACACAACGTTCAGAAAATAGTGGGTCTCTTAAGCAGGCCAAACAAGAAAACAGCAATACCAAGATCACATACGAGGCCTGAATGCTTATGATTGCCAGAAGAAATTCCTCGATGATTATGTTGGATTTCATGGAAGAGAGAGATCCACACAAGAAAAGTTGCCTGTTAAAACAGATCAAGGTACAGATTCATACGAACTGAGGAAGATGATATGAATCCATCTTGGGAGCAAAGGCTGGTGAAGCATGCTTTTCAAAGAATATTGTATAGCTGATATGACACACTATAAGAGTGGAAAAATTGGTCTGAGATGGAAGTGACATCTGGGAAAGGGCATTTTATATGTGGTAACAAACACTGCAATGAGAGCTACGAGGTGAATTTTTCATATGTTGAAGCAGAAGAAAACAAACAGGCTCTGGTGAAATTGGTAGCCTGTGAGAGATGTGCAGAAAAGCTGCTTTATAAAAAGAGGAAAGAGAAGGATCAATCTAACCTGAAAGATAAACATCCAAGGAAAAGGGAAAGATGTGTAAGTGATGATGAAAATAAGGATTGATAATTATGCAGGAAGGAAAAGGAAGGAGTAGAGGGTCAAAGGTTTCAACTTCATCTGATAATCTGGAAAAATAATCATAAACCATTGTATTGGTTCTTGACATATCTTCAATCTAATGACCATAAGAAAAATAAGTTTAGATGGAACAACAGACTGGAACCGAGATCCAAGAGGCACTCTAATTTTTATGTAAGTGGAGCCTATCACATAGACTAGAAGTAGTTTGTTTTGAGATTATATGGCTTCTATGGAAACATAGGGGATCGAGAACAGAAGGACTTAGTTTCATGAGATTAAGTTGTACTAGTTATGTTTTTCACATGCATATACAGACAGATATTCATTGAGGCCAAGAATTGAGCACAATGTACTTACAGTTAAGTCTTGGTTATTGTTTTCATCATGATGTTTAAGTTGTTGAGACACCACACCATTGCTTAGCCGTGGCCCGTGAGGTTGATGAACGAGTCCATCATCTTTTGGATCAATTTGGGTGGTGATATGATGTGTTTGATAGCACCCGCAATAAAATTATTTCATCGTGTTCCTTTGTGAATGTTGATAAAATCATGAAACAAAACTGTCGAATCCATGGATAACTCTCATGAACTCTAACTAAACATGGAAGATAGTTTGTAGAATCTTCTATTGTATTGAAGAAGAATTGTGTTATAGATATCCTGAATGCAAAAGGAATCTAATCACTAACTTCCATTTACAATGACTAACACTTCAACTAACTGTCAGCTCATATTGCTTAACCGACTCAATCAAGTTGTTAGTTTGTTACCTAACAAACTATTAATATCCTATCTAACTATTGAGGCATATTCAAGTTATTCCAGTCTCAATAATCCCCTCAAATTGGTGGGTGCAAAGATGTTCAAAACTCCCAATTTGGATACCAGATGCTCATGTTGTGTTCTTAATAGTGCCTTGGTTAGGATGTCTGCATGTTGCTCCTTAGAACTGATGTGGTGTGTCTTTATCAATCCTGTTGAATTTTTTCCCTTATAAAGGGACAATCTATCTCTATGTGGTTTGTCCTCTTATGATACACTAGGTTTGCTACTATTTGCAAGGCTGCTCTACTATTACAATATAGTTCAATGGGCTTCTTTATGTCTACTCACAACTCTTCAAACAATCCAATCAGCCACACTAACTCTAAAACATGTTGAGGCCATGCTCTTGTACTCTGATTTAGCAGAGCTCCTTGAGACAATGCTTTGTTTTTTTTTTATTTCCAGGATATGAGAGACTCTCCATGCTTCACCAAGAAACCTGTCACATGGTATTAAGGCATGATACCCAATCAACATCATAATATGCTGTCACTGTGTTGTCTCCACTGCTACTCATTAAAATTTCCATTCCAGGTTCCTCTTAATATATCTGACTACACTCTAGGCTGCCTCCCAATGAAACCTTTTAGGTTGTTGCATGAACTGACTAAGAGTTTGAATTGCAAATGTTATATCCAACCTAGTCAGTGTCAAATATAAGAGCTTCCCAATCAGTTTCTGATATTTTCCCTTATCCTCTAAAGGATCATCATCACTGGTTCCTGTGAGATCATCTAGTTCCTTTGTTGTAAACTTTTGATTGAATTCCAAAGGTGTCCAAGCTAGTTTTGAACCACTCAAGCCTAGTTCTCCTATCAGCTCAAAGGCATACTTTCTTTGGTTCATTAAAATATCTTTGTGTGACCTTGCGAATTCTATTCCCAGAATGAACTTTAACTCTCCAAGATCTTTCATCTTAAAGGTATGTTGCAGATCTTCTTTAGTTGACTTGATGAGTTTCTTGTTGTTGCATATAACCAACATGTCATCCACATAAACTAAGATCACAATAATGTCAACTTCTACCCTTTTGGTGAATAAAGAGTAGTCCAAGCAGCTTTGAGTGAACCCAAACTGAACTAGTGCAGTGGTCAACTTCTCATTCCATTGTCTACTTGCTTGTTTCAAACCATAAAAGAATTTGGTAAGCCTACAAACCATACCAGGTTGCTCCCCTAGCTTGCAAAACCTTGGGGCAAGTGCATGTACACCTCATCATGGAGATCACCTTGCAAGAAAGCATTATGGATATCAATTTTCTCAATAGGCCAGCCAACAGTAGCAGCTATAGACATTACAACTCTAACAATCACAATTTTAACCACGGGAGAAAATGTCCCAAGATAGTCTAGGCCTTCAAGTTGTGTATAGCCTTTCTGCACTAACCTGGCCTTATACCTTCCACATCTCCATTAGCATGATACTTGACCTTGAAAACCCATTTGCTGCCAATGGGAATCTTCCCTGCAGGCAGAGGAACTATGTCCCAAGTCTAATTATCCTGGAGAGATTTGATCTCAGATTGCATGGCCTCAATCCAGAGAGGATCAATAGTTGCTTCCTACAATGTTTTGGGCTCAACTATATAATTAAAAGCAGCAAGAGAAGATCTGTAGGAAGCATATAAGAGATAAAAGAACTAATATGATGAGACGTGGAAAGAGGAAGAAAGGCTGAGTCATCTAGGTAGGTTGTTTTCTAACTCTAATTGAGTGCCTCAAGGCTTCAACAACTGGTGTAGGGAGTGGTTGTGCATTGGACAATGTGGGAGAATCAGATGGATAAAAGGGAGGTGACTGAACAGGACGAGGACTAGCAGGTGGAGCCAACTTCAAAGGGTCAAGAACATCAGTATGCTGATATAAGAGGTCTCCTACATCAGAGTGGGATTGAAAAGGAAATATGGACTCCGTGAAAAGCACATATCTGCTGACAAAAAAAGTAGAGTTAGTGAGATTCAGCGATATATAACCCTTGAAAGTGGCAGAATAGCCCATCATCACTGCTTCTATGGCTCTAGGATAAAACTAATCATGCACTGTCAACTTCTTGGCATATCAAATATATCATATGGTTCTGATATGATCTAGACTGGTTTCCTCCCATAGAAGACCTCATATGGACTTTTACCATTCAAAACCACTGGATGCAAACGATTGATGAGGTAGGCAGCACCAAGAACACAATGACCCCAGAACTTGATTGGAATTCCCCCCTAAAATATGAGACCTCTAGCCATTTTCGGAATGTGTTTATGCTTTCTCTCTGCTACATCATTTTGTTGAGGTATGTAGACACATGCTCTTTGATGTAGAATACCAAAAGAATGAAGAAGACTAGAACACTCAACATTAACAAATTCACTCTCATTATCCGACCTGACCACCTCAACCTTAGTATTAAATTGAGTATGAACCATTGTGAGAAATTGTCTCAGTACAACTACAATATCAGATTTCAATTTGAGCAAAAACAACCAAGTGATTTTGGAATGTTCATCAACAACAGTAAGGAACATTTTATTGCCATCAAAGTTACGTACATGATAGGGACCCCATACATCAATGTGTAGCAAATCAAAGATGGCTACAACCCTATTAGGAAAATGTAATATAATATTCTTAGTTAAGGGACAAATAGAAAAATTGTCAGCATATGCAAGCTATTAAGTGGAGGTAAGCCAAAAAGTTGTCTGATTATTCTTCCAGGTGCATGCATGTCTCATCCTTCTATGCCATAAGCCAACTGTAACATCCGACAATTTGAAATAACTATGAAGAGGCTTAGAATTGGAAATAGTCAATTTTGGAAGGAATTCAAAATCTGGAATAAATAAATAAATTTGGCTAAGTATGGGGAAAAGTGGGTTTTTGGCCAAATTTGAGCAGTCATAACTCCTGGATCAGGAGGAGTTAGGTGTAGTTCCAGTTATGGTTGCGAAGCTCGTGGAATGATCTTTCCAACTCCATCGAGTTTACTCGATTCCGAGTTCGTATGAGTGAGTTATTCCCTTTGAAAGTTGGGCAGTTGGCAGGGAAGTCCTTCCGGAAATTTTGAGGGTATTTTGGTCTTTTCCCTAACCAATTCTTTTGGTCATATTGTTATGTTAGACTGATTTTTAGATCAGTTTGTCCCATTTTAAAAGAGTGAGAGTGAGGGTTTGTGAGTGAAGAGGAGAAGAAGAGGAGAAAGAGAAGATCAAGCAAGGTTTCGTCAAGGATCGTCGTGGATATCGTCGGGGGTGATCCCTACTAGGTATGTGAGTTCATAGTGTTGGTTTGGTTCTTTCCCCCACACGCCAAACTCATTTTATTTTCAAGAAAAGATTGGTTGTGTTGTTGAAGTTGTTGGTTGTGTTGTTGATTGTGTTGTTGAAGTTCTTGTTGATTTGGGACATGATTTGGTTGTGTTTTTGAGTTGAATCTCTTGTATGTTGAGGGATTTTATGATCCTTAGTGTTTGGGGTTGAAACCTTTGAAGTTAGGGTGGTTTAGAGTTGGGAAAAAG